GTGAAATGCCAGTGAAAATAAATGGTTTTAAGTATAACCATTCAATAATTACGTCACTTAAATTTTTAGTAAATAAATACAATTGTAGGAAAATGATAAAATTGAAAAATGTCAAACAAACCTTTTTTTAAGAAGTGATCTGAAATCGGTTGGTTCTTCCTCAATCTGTCTGACCGCGACTGTCACTGTACATTTTTGTTCACCATGTGGATTAGTAGCAGTACATGTATACTGTCCAGCATCAGTAGACAAGACGGCTGGTATATGAATCATATACTCCATGTCTGAGTTAGAGATTTTAATTCTACCACTATTTACAATAGTTTGGCCATCTTTAGCCCATGATACTGTTGGTGTTGGCACACCTTCCAGTTTACACTGCAGTTTCATTGCATTCCCCTCATCCAGATTGACTGACCATGGCTTCTTTAAAAATTTAGGTGGGCTTTTTGTGGGTCCTGCTTCTGAAGAAATAATAGTAAAATATATTCATAAAATAGAAAACTTTCTAAAGATTGCAAACAATCAGGAAAAATATAACGAAGGTTTTAAGAAGAAGTGTGAGTTGCAATTATTTGCAGAATCATTGAGAGCGACAAATCCTTGAGAAAAAAGCTATTTCGTAAAGATCTTAATTCTTAGATGTCTATTGTTTTAGCTGGAGGAATTCTGGACCCTAATGCTACTGTTTTCCTGTTCACAACAAACAGAGTATCATTTATGGTTATCTATCTCACAGTCTGTCTGTAGAATTTTTATTATTAGGATATGAATAAATGAAATATTATTGCATCCGCTTCAAAAATACATATTTTCTAATTTGGTTTATTTATAATAAATGCTTTATTTCATTCAGTTATTATGAATAATACAATATACTAAAAGTACACTAAACTAAAATTTTAGATTTAGATTTTATGTAACATATTGTTTTAACTACAATGTAGGCCATGAATTGGATATTTTATGATTTCATATTCACCTTTATCATTGATAACTTCATTCTAATGGCTACTTTTAAATGCCAGGTAAAAACAAATCATTTCAAATGCAGTATGATCTAGAAACACAGGTATGTCGTTGAGGAAATTTTTCTTTCCATGGCAAAGAAATGATTCCAGATTGAAATAATGTTTGAATGCTAGACATTTTGTTTTTATTTGAAGTCTGCGAAGTTAGAGAATATTGGATATAAAAGAGAACCTGAACACCTGACATGCATAAAAAAGGGAAGATGTTACCTTAGCGACCAGAGGATGAAAATACACCAGAAGAACTTGCAGAGGAGAGGAGAATGGAAGAATTGATAGCAGAGTTGAAAGGTCGTTCTTCATCATTGTCAGAAAGCAGCATGGTGATAGATGGAGTACAACCGATATGACCTCAGCATGAAGGGGTCAAGTAGGAGGGAGGGCACAATAACAAACAAAAGGGACTAACATGTTGACAGTACACAAACATAACACATGTCTGTACATATAATGTGTGGCTACACTCTATTGGGGGATTGGGGGTGGGGCAACCTTTATGGGGCCAGGTGAAGAGACCCGCCCTTTGGTTTGATTAACACAAGTGCATCACCAGTGTAAATGACAACACCATAACTTGCAACATGTTGACAGTTTACGAGGCTCAGGTGAAGGGAACCACCTTTTGCCATCACCAGTGCAAATGACAACACATACGGTAATTAGAATTTTTAGTTTCACAGTTCTAGATGAGGGGAACCCTCTCATGATTTGATGAATAAAAATGCATCACCAGTGCAAACATATCTCATAAATCTGATTTCCCATGATAAAAAAAAAATTTGCTGGCTGCTCTGAAATTAAAGGCATATATCAGCGATAAAAATGTTTGTAAAAAAGAAAATAAGAAAATTAGAAAAAAAGAGAAATATTCAGTATGAGAGTTGTCATTGTCAAAAATTGTCATGAATGAGGAAAGGGGTAATAAGAAAATTAAGTTTGTGAAGTGAATCCAGAGTAATTCACAGAGTATTTCAAGTTATGGAATGTTATTTATAGAATAGTCATTCATAGTGGGAAAAGACATGGGATGTTGAGTGGGATCTTGACATACTGCTTTAATGCTAGAGCTTATAGGTATATGGTGGTATGCAATGTGTACATCCTATTCTAAGCTCCAAACCCTATACCTCAAATGGAACAACCCATATACAATATAGTTTAATCAGAGCACCAGATTATACCAAATATATATGGGGGCAGATGACAGTATGTAGGTATATTGGAGCTTAGAACATCACACAGTCTTTGGTTAGTAGGACGAGACAGAAAACTAGGACAGTGGCTAGTCACAGTGGAAAAAGAAAAGCCTCACAAATCAAATACTTTCTATATTTTTATTTGTCTAGAGATTTATTTAGTCACAGTGCACCAATCAGTATTTGTACTAGTCTACGCAAATTTAAAAAAAATAGTGTATATTATTACTTGAAGAGCACAAGCAAGCTGTTCATTTCCAATGTAACTGTCCTGTCCCACTCATTTATTCAGTTTCTACCAAAATATATTTATCTAAATATTTCAAAAAATGCATATTATATACTGCACGAAGGCTTTTAGAAATGTTGTTTTTTGGTAGGTAACTGAAGCGAATAAGTCATTTCTTTTACTCCCCCATGTGTACATACCGTACATAGAATGAAGTCAGAGTTTGATGCAAATCATAAGAAGATCACACAATGGAAGAAAATGAAACAAGACAACAGCTGCTTCATTGTGATTCAACGTTGATAACGAATGGTTACGTTGCAATAGTCGGCGGCATGTTGCAGATGTTTCGATAGAATTCACAATGAAGCA